CGCGTGAAATTAAAAAAAAATGAGTAGCCTATGTGTTCTTCCAGACTATTCTCTACATCTATGCCAAATTTTATCGAAATCCGTTCAGTCATTTAGGCTACAGACTCTAGCAAACATCCATCCATCCATCTAAACTCTCGCATTTATTATATTAGTTAAGTGAGATAGGAAGATGTATTTTATTTTTCCAACATATTACGAAGTAAAAATGTTTTCGGACAAAAAAACTTGAATCTCACTGATGTCATAAATACTTATGTAAGTTTGAAAGATGTTTTTTATACGTTTACCCAAAAGAATTAAACGGATCTCGATGAAAGGCAACAGAGAAGTCTGAAATGGCGAATCCAAGACTATGCCAATATTATATAGAAAAAGATTTGCATTTTTGTATGTGTTAAAATAACTCAAAAAATACTGGGCCGATTTCAAAAATCTTTCACCATTTGAAAGCTACGTTATCGCTAACATGAGCTATATTTTATTAATTTTACGTAGACGAAGTTGCGAGAAACAGACTCTGAAATAAATAAATTACTCTAGTAACATGGGTAGATATTTTCATCCTGTTCATTCGTATTAAATAAAAGTGAAACGACAATATCATAGAACTATAATCGATTACCGTAACCTAAAATCTGTTAAGATAATAAAAATCTTTACAAAAAACTTCACGTATTTTCTGAAACGGTAGAAATTTAATTTTGCAGAGTACATTTTCATTTGCATGGAATTTCCTTTGATGTTTTTTTCAAAAGGTTCAGACAAAAACGTGTTACACAAAGGTGATTAAAAAATCTGATTAATACTAAAACTAGGTTACATATATTTGCTTGGAACTGTAACGCATAATGACATCCATAGAAGGCCGCAGAAAGGGAAAGAAGGACGTCAAAAAGCCACTAAAAGACATTGCTAAGAAAAAGCATTAGAGAAAGAAACAGAAAAACAGCCAGAAATCTAGAACGCTCTATATCGAAAACTACTACAATAATTCTTTGCAACCATAATTTTATATTATAAGATAATATACTTTTTAGGAACTTTGGTAGCTCTGGGGTAGCTTGACTTCTAATCCACAGGTCCCGGGTTTTCGAATTTCATATGTACATAATTTACCCGACGTTCTTACAGCCAGAGTGGTTGACTATGGCTTGTCACCCTTAACTTAGGAGAGGCGCCGAGTCCCTCATTGGAGACGTATAGTGAGCTGGTGATGATCGTAGCTTAAGGAAAACAAATAATCTATTTAGAGAAACAGATGTCTTTAACAATGCTATGCTGTCACTTGAGTTAGTTTAATTCTAAGTTAAAGCAAAACTTAGTTCTGTAACAATAATCTAGGGTTATGACAAGGGTCGGATATTAACATCTGTAACTAATTTTAGTTCGCTCTAAAATATACAATAAACGTTAATTCAACATTTCTAACTAATTCGAAAACGGAGATTGTCAATATTCTTTTCTCTAGAATAGAACTTTAGTTATACCACGAATCTACGGTTTGTAGCGTGTCAACACTTGAAACTAAATTATCGCACAACTGTTTAGTCTCGCTTTCCTAAGAGCTATGGAGGTGCGCATACTACCTGATTTTTATTGCAACTGAACAGATTAATTGGCTGCAAAACAATGGACTATAAAAGCATAACAGTTATGCGATAGTTTGGTCAAAGACGTGCGCCCGCTATAACAAATCACGAAGATATGGAGGAACGTCTGACCTCTCTGCACGAGGTAGATGGCGTGTTTTTTCTTCACAGAGTACAACGTTCTTCACTGATATTTGAAGAACTATCAAGATTTATGAGAACATTATTACCAAAGTTTTGGATAAATGATTAGGAATGCATGAATGTTTAGTTGGCTCAGTGTCGTTGAACTATCGCAGTTTAGTCACGTTCCCGGTGTCCAAATGGTCGAACAGCTGGCACGGGGCCAAGCCCGACACAGACACTAATGGATAAATTGATCAATTGTGGCTTGAATCAAGTTATTTTAACTATAGCCTTGCTTCTGCTAGCCTAGTATATGTAAAATATGAACAGCTGCTTCAACTTTTTAAAAAAATGTTTTAAAAAATCTTTTTCAGTTTTTTTTTCGAAAGTAAAAAATACGCTGCAACCAGCTTCTCCAAAAGTAGGTTAAAATCAACAAAACTTCATTTATAAACATATCTACAGCTGCGGGCAAATTGAAAACTTTTGTAATAATCTTTTTATGGTAAAAAAAATTAGGCACGCTTGAAAAACCTTCGCCTACGAGCGCTGAGAGAATAAAAATTAAAACAATAGCCTGCTATTTTAAAATTCCTTTAAAAGCTCCTGTAAAGTTAGATGCAGGTAAAAGATTTATACTAAAATCTATAAAATATTTCTTAATATTATTATATTATAAGAATATAAAATATACTGGCTGTTCTGTTTGTCAATATTCAAATGTTTAAATGACCCAAAAGCCGAGCCATTGGCTAACATTTACCGTGGCAATGTTACTTCTTTACTGCTATTCGCTTATAGTTTTTGTCTCTTTCTTGCACAACTATTTTTGCAATCTATTCCGCTCCTAAACTATATGGCGAGAAAATATGTAGCCTGTAGCATGTTGTAAACGTAGGGCATTTTATTAAAAAAGGGTTTATTCAGAAATATGCTGTTATTGCTGACATCCGGCATAACAAAGTATGTCATCATCACCAGCTCACTAAACGTCCCCACTGAGGGACTTGGAGCCTAGTAAGGGGTGACTAGGCCATAGTCAACCACGCTGGCCCAGTGCGGGTTGGTTGACTTCACACATATCTTTAAATTTCTTCGCCAATATGTGAAGGTTCCCTCAAGATGTTTTCCTTCACCGTAAGAACGTCGGGTTAATTATGTACATATGAAATTTCGAAAAATCTAAAATCACACGGTACATGGCGTGATTCGAACCCAAGATTACAAGCAAGTGCTTAAAACACTGAGCGACGCTCAACAAAGTATATGTTTACGCTATAATATATTAGTATAGAAAGACAGATAGATAGAAGATAGGTATCAGAGGCATGAGTGCACTTTCATCGTTGATTGGAATTTTTATCTATGAAAAACAAAAGATGTAAAGAATAATTGAGAACCTCCATACCCCGCAGCACAATAGGGAGGCGGACAATGTGAACGTCATTATCGGATTGCTTGCTTGGAATTTATGTTCTCCTGGTATTTCTCTTGGCACACGTTGGAATTTAAGACCTTTTATGTCTGGATCTCTGTCAAAAATACTTTTATGGAGAGATTTTTTTAATAATAAGAAGTAGACAATTCAAATAGTTCCATTATTACGTAAAATAACGAAATATGTATTTGGTAAAAATTCAATATCAATAACAATGTCGACGCAACATTAAAAGCTAAGGGAAAATTCAATACTATTAAGGCCGTTATTGCTTAGGGTGTTGGACAACTTACGTTAATAACATAAGGCGACTCATAATCTTAATCTTACTAATATTATAAATGCGAAAGTTTACATGGATGGATGGAAGGATGGATGGATGGATGGATGTTTGTTAGCGTTTGTAGCCAAACCGGCTGAACGGATCTCCATGAAATTTGGCACAGGTTTAGAGCGTAGTCTGGAAGAACACATAGGCTTCTTTTTATCCCCGGAATAGTTACGGTTCCCGTGGGATTCGTTAATCTAGTTTTTTAATGTTTACTCGATCATTCTGCATCGGTTTAACATATGTTATTGAAATTTGGCACAGATATAAAACAAAGTCTGGAGTACACATGGGATAAGGTTCATCCCCGAGAAATGTCCGGTTCCCGAAGGATACATAACTTTTTGTTATTTATATAGTTCGTATGTTTCCTATTACCACGCGGGCAACAGCTCGTTAATAAAGTTAACAATATTTTCATATTGTATAGGTTTTATTACCAGGTAATCGATAATAAACTCTCACGTCTCTCATAATTGTCATTTAGGGTTACCGTAAGACTGGAATTTTTACTGAATACTGTTAAAAACATATTTCTATGTTAATTATAAACATATTTTTATTTTGTACATGAATTTCTGTTTATGTAGAAAATTATCGATACGCATCTTATGTACTTGTTAAATACATTGCTTACGCCGTATTATTTTGGTTGTTTGTATTGTCAAAGAATATTTACAAAGGGTTAAAAATTTTAGCCAACGTCAAATTTATTCAGCTTCATGTAGAGAAAATCCTTTTAAAGCTTTTAAATTGTACGTCAGATGGAAATTTGCTGTTAAAATTTTAAAACAGTTTACTTTTCGTCCGGAATTACACAGAAACGGAAATGCGAGATACAATATAACCTCAAACCAATGTTTAAAATGTAGACAGAAGCGAGAAATACAAATTTCAGTTCGAAACTAGCAAATAGGCTCTTCTTTTACTCAATTTTTATAACATAAAAATGAATCTAATATTTAATCTATAACATTTTGACGCAATTTAATAAAATTATAACCTATTTTTTTAGACTGGACATAAATAAAAGAGACTGTAAAATGTTTGTTTAGGCTAGATTACAGTTTTTAACAAAATTGTCTATATTTGTATGTTGAAAATCTTAACCAAAATTCGTCTTAAAAACGTTTAATAATAACAACGTTAACAGTCTAGCCAATTAAAAGTAATTCAAAGCAAGATTAACATAATTCTTCTTCTTAAATTTAACAGAAAAAGTTTCATAAAAAAGACCTCCCATTTTAACATTAAAAAGAGCTTTAAATCAGAATGAAAGTCAGATTAACTCCCCAAAGCGATGTTAAGCTCATAACGATGGGGGATGAGAAAATCCTCCCCACTACGAAACATTTAAACACTCCCTGATGCTTTAAAATATCCACAAAAAATTAAACTTTTACAATATTCAACAAAAGTCCAGACAATCAAAAAAACTAACATCAAAAATCCATAAAAAACACAATTAGATACAAAAATATAACATTTTGTACATAATTATATCGTATCCGCTTACCTTTTTAGCCGCAACAATTCTTAAACACAAAACACTGAATTTAAATTATAATAAAATCACCGATTCCCGAAACGACAGACACGTCCGCTTCGGACCGCTCCCGAGCGCCGACTGAAATTCAGAGGGTTGCAACCCCCCGGTGCAATGCCTTTACTATCTAACTTTATACGTATTTCTCGCGCCCCATTCGTACCTTTAATTTCCTTTGCACATATTGACCTTCTTCACCTTAATTCGTATCATTTGAAGCAATTGCTCTGATCTTCTACATTGCATTCTAAAAAGAATCTTACGCTAATCTGAATACAGTATCAATTCGCCCGTTCTATAAGTACTTAACACAATAATCGCGTACATTGTGATGTGTTTGCTAATAATTCGCGTAAATCATGAGGATTAATGGCCGGTTCCCCAGTAACTTTTAACCATTCGTTGCCGAACTACGTAACTAGAGTTTTTTTCCGTTAAAAGTAATGTTAACCTAACACTAACGAATCATTAAGTAATCATAAAATAATTGGGCACTTCAGCAACCAAGCATAATATCTCTATACGAGTACTAGTATTTTTAACATTACATTATAATTACGTATTGAAATTATCAATTTTTGAATAATTACTAATTCCCACGATGATGTTATAACCAAAGGGGAAATATTTCGTATTAAAAGTATTGTTATTCCTCTATTTTTGTTACAAAAACTAGCTTTCGCCCGCGACTAGCGTTCAGCCTTTTAGGCTAGAAACTCTCACAAACATCCACCCATTCACTACCACTTTGTTCTCTTGTGAATAGTTATTGAGAACTGTTTTTTTTCCATATATCTATTTATTTAATAAAAGTCACATTTCTCTTTTAAATCTGTACGTATATAACTTGTTTTATATCGCATGTGGCAATGCAAATAAAACTGTCAACACGTCAGGGCTACCTTGATGAATGTTTGCGTAATGTAGCGTGAAATGCGAACCATCGAACAAAGCGGGGGAAAATATCATCTGATATATAATCATCTCTATTTCTTTATAGATAGTGACAAGGATAGCGATATGCTTATCAGGAAAACAACACAGTGAAAAACATAAGATTTATTCTGTACCTGCAGTATTTTTTTTTGTGTCTGAATGGCCACTGTTTGCCTTGAAGAGGCATTTACAGATTCACCGGGCTTGAGGTGGCCCAGCGGAGATGGCGCGTAGCCTAAACCTCGTTTATGAGTAACCTGCAGTAGGAGGCACAAAATTGTATTTCAATTCTTATCTGTCTCTTATTGTATCTTGTTTCTAAATTCATATGGCTTTTTTATTATTTTAAATCGATTATTCTAGATTTTACTAAATTAAACAAGACAAACACATTAGAAGAAATCATTCTTAACTAGCAAGTAATTCAATCGTAATTTACTTAACAAAGATAATGTGCAAGGAATTTGATGTTATCTACACAATTCAATACTTACTTTGTAAAATATTGTCGTAAATGGCATATGCATTGCCATGCGACACACGGCCGTAAGGATCGAAGAACTATTATATTATAGCTCAATTACAGTTAAAACATACTTATGTAAGCAAAATTATCATTTTATAGTAAATAAGAATGTGTAGCGTGTAGGCTATGAGAAGGCGCACACCTTTGACTGAACTATCGCACAACTATTGTGTGATTGTCGATTGTTTCGCAGTCAATTCAACTGTTTAGTTGCACAACAATCGAGTAATGCGCACCTTATATGGTGCCATAGAAATCAAAGCGCGACTAGGCAATCTATACTATTATAATAAAGCGTAAACACACACTTCTTTGTTTCCTAAGATGTCAGCAATTACAGCATATTTTTGTATAATTTTTATTTTAATAAAAAGCCCTACACTTACGTAACGCTTTAGGCTATATATTTTCACGCCATTAAACTTAGGAGGTAAATATTTTGGATAAAAACCCTAATGTGGGAAAGAGACCATAAGTTGCTACCAACATCAAGGAAGCAAAATTGCCATGTTTTATATTCATGTCATGTCTGTCATTTTGACATTTGACAAATGTAATCAATAAAACAATTTTCATAATTTCATGCGGATGAAGTCGCCTAGGCAACCCTATCTTAGTTTTACAACCGAGTAGTTTTGCTATCTAACTAAATAGTTTACTAATGTATTCGACGTTAGCATGAGCCGTGTGTATCAGAAATTAAACTTGCATCAAGCGGTTGCCGCGGGGCGACAAGACAGGAGGTGTGGTGGCAGTTTACGAGTCCTTCGTTAATTTATTTGGCTCTTCCTTCCTTGACATACTCCCCACAACGATACTTACATTTTAACCAAATAATACATGTATTATGTGTATTAGCTAACTATTGTAGTTCTGAAAAGAATAATGTTATAAATGAAGGGCGTTAGTTATGAGTGTGGGTCACCTGTAGAGGTAGAAAGAGATGGATGAATTCAGTGAAAGGTGACATGATCAAGGGAGTGATGACTAAGATGACGGATGATAGAGTTATTTGGAGGACGAAAACCTACGGGAGTAGGATAAGGTAGGGAGAAAGGATGACTAATATTATAAATTCAAAAGTTTAGATGGATTTGTTAGAGCTTGTAGCCTAAACAGCTTTACAGATTTCGATGAAATTTGGCATAGATGCAGAGGATAGTCAGGTAGAACATATACGCCACTTACTTTTTTTAATTACACACCGACGGAGTCACGGGCGAAAGCTAGTTGTATGCACATGATACTAATATTATATATGAGAAAGTTTAGATGGATGTTTGTTAGAGTTTGTAGCCTAAACGGCTTATCGGATTTCGTTGAAATTAGATACTGACGTATAGGATAGTCTGGAAAAACATATAGGCTATTCACGTTTGTTATTTATAATTCCACGCAGAAGGAGTCGCGGGCGAAATCTAGTTTGATCATAAAAAAGTCTTCTTTTAGTATCGCCATCTCAACTAATTAGGACTTAAGTCTTATTGTATAATACATTTTAATCTAATTAATGTTATCTTTTACCCACGTTACTAACACTAATTATCCTTATTCATTGTTTATTAACTTTTATATCAATTATAATCTGATTAGATTTATCAAATTATGTAATTGATAGGATTTTCCATTTTTGATTATTCAATTAAAAATCTTAGCGATAAAAATCAGTACATACATAATTTTTAATCGATAAAAACACAAACAAGGAACCAATTGACTTGATAAGATTTCTTTTACGTAAGACTTACTTTCAATGTACTAAAGATCTTCCTTTTCTACGCGAGGTAGCGACACTACTCGATTAGAGAATTATTCTTGACAATTTACAAACCAAAAGTGTTATTTAATTAAAGGAAGAAACTTATAACAGACCTGCAGGACAAGCAATCTATATCTATCTATACTATTATAATAAAGCGTAAACACTCTTCTTTGTTGCCTAAGATGTCAGCAATTACAGCATATTTTTAAATTATTCTTTTTTTTTTTCATAAGAAGCCCTACACTTACGTCACGCTGTAAGACATATATTTTCACGCCATTAGACTTAGGGGGTAAATATTTTGGATAGAAACCCTAATGTGGGAAAGAGACCATAAATTGCTGCCAACATCAAGGAAGCAAGATTACCAAGGTTTTTCATGTTATATCATTTTGACATTTGCTATTGATAATTTGACAAACGTAAACAATAGTATAAAATTTTCATAATTTCATGCGGATGAAGAGGCACAGGAACACCTAGTTAGTTATATGTACCCTTACTTCCTAGACAAAACATCAACATGGCGATTTTAACTCTTTGTAGTCCATAAAAGAATACAAATCCGCTTGTCCAAAGGCATTTTAGCAAACTAACTTACTTTTAATTAATTATAACGCTCAATACTAACGTTTAAAAGACATATCAATCTGCAAATTTAGATAAAAACTAAATTCTCATATCACTAATATTGTATCAATAATTGATAAAACCCAATACTATAAAAGTTAGTAAACATTTCTAATGATGTTTATTCTAGTAGATCTCACAATGACACGATTGGTGTTACTCCTGTGTTGGGTGGCGACGGTGACAGCATTTGAACCTATACAGCAACGATACCACGATAATGTGGGAGTCCCACTCGCTGAGGCAATCAGACAAGCTGAGCTGTCAACAGATTTCGATGGATCCAGAATTGTAGGCGGATCACCAGCCGCTCTCGGAGATTATCCTTACATGGTAAGCAAACATTTTAAGATTAGCTGTTGTTCGCGGCTTCGCTCGAGAAATAAAAAAATGTAGCCTTTGTTACACATTGGTAACGTAGCTTTATAATAGTGAAGGAATTTTTGAAATCTGCCGAGTAGTTTTTGAGTTATTGCAATATATACAAAAATACAAATCTTTCCTCTTTATAATGTTAGTACGTTACTTTCGCCCGCAACTCCGCCCGTGTGGTATTAAAAAAAAAGAAAAATGAATAGCCTATGTGTTCTTCCAGACTATCCTCTACATCTATAACAAATTTCATCGAAATCCGTTCAGCCGTTTAGGCTACAAACTCTAACAAACATCCATCCATTTATCTAAACTTTCGCACATATAATATTAGTATATAGAAAAAAAATACTTTTATATCCCAACAGACCAGAAAAAAAAACTGTAATTTTTAAGACAAAGTTAGTAGAATCTTAGTCAACGCCAAATGTATATTGTATGGTTTTGTAACAGGAGAGCAAATTGTTGTGTTTCAGGGTGGACTATTGATGTTACTGGACGATGGTCGCACGTCTATCGGAGGCTCCACATTGATTAGCAACACCAAGGTGTTAACGGCCGCTCACAATCTGTTCGATGGCTTCAATAGGGCACGCGAAGTCACCGTCGTACTCGGCTCCGTTCACATCTTCTCTGGAGGCACCAGGATCACTTCTAACGTCTTCGAATTACACAGCGGCTTCGATATTAGAACCATTAACAACGACATTGCTATAATCACCATCAGTTGGGTGAACTATAACAGTTAGTTTTGCAGTTTTTACTTTATTATAAAAGGGCTTGATAACGAACCAGTAGGTCCGTTATCGTACATTTATATCGTATAGTAAGGTAGTGGACCTTCATAAATGGGACCTTTCTATAAAATGGTAGTAACTTTTATTTCTACATTAATATTATAAAGGTGAAAGAATTGTTTTTTTTTTTTTATTTTTGTATTTATTATTCCAAACTCAAAAACTACAAGACCGATTTCAAAAATTCTTTCGTCATTGAAAAGCTACCTTATTACTGAATAACATAGACTAGTTTTTTATCATACGTTTTTATCATTTTTAAATTTCACGCGAGCGAAGTCGCGAGAACATAAACTAGTCCTTGACCAGTTGTTTGTATGCATCAGATGTGATCAGGAACATTGCCCTGGCGACCGGCAGTAACACGTACGCCGGCTCGTGGGCCTGGGCTGCCGGCTTCGGGAAGACCAGCGATCGTGAGTTTCAAGTTACTAATTTACAAGTGTAATAGTTAATTTATTCTTAATTTTGTTGATGAAATTCAAAGATATGTGTTACAACTATCCTGCACTGGCCCAGCGTGGTTGATTCTAGCCTATCAGTAACTTATGATAGATTCCGAACTCCTCAGTGGGGACCTGTGATGATGAGGATTATATCTAATATACGTGTTGTTCACAGTCGGTTCCGCTTCTCCGGATTTATTACACGCCAGATTACAAGTAATCACGAACGCCGCCTGTCGCGACGTGTTCGGGTCATTATTTGTCATAGACTCCACTCTCTGTGTCAGCGGAGCTAATCGCATCAACACGTGCATTGGGGACTCCGGTGGCCCTCTCGTCGCCGACAACCATCTTGTTAGTAACATACATCCCCAGCATACATTAAGACCAACTTACCTCTAACTCTGCGACTGCTATATATGCATACATCTTGTTTATCATTATAAATACTAAAAAAATATGTATTGTAAAAAAAAGTAAGTAGGCTATGTGTTCTTACAGGTTATCTTCTACATTTATGTCAATTTTCAAAGAAATCCGTTCAGCTGTTGAACTGTAACAAACAACCATCTAAACTTTTACATTCATAATATTACTAAGATTTATATATGCAGAGATAAAAACACGAACGCCTTTTAATTCTTATTTTATCTAACTCCTAACGTCTTTAATTATGTCGTCTTTCAGATCGGTGTGACATCGTTCAGTTCTGGTCGTGGTTGTGAAGCCAACTTGCCTTCAGGCTTCGCGAGAGTCAGCGCTTTCAACTCTTGGATAAGAGCCCGAATGTAATTTGCAATAACATTTTTCTGTTTAAATAAATAGACATTTACATATCGCTTTTAAATAAAATTACATAAATAAATTTACATATCGCTTTTTTATCTTATTTTAAATTGTGTATTTTATTGTTAACATTTGTCAAATTATCAATTACAAATGTCGAAATCTGATGACATGATGACAAACCGTGGCAACCTTGCTTCCTTAATGTTGGCAGCTTGTAGTTTATGGTTCCTTTCCCACATTGTTTTTTTTTTCAATTTATTTATCCCCCAAGTTTAATAGCGTAAAAATATATAACCTAAAGCGTGTCGTAAGTGTAGGACTTTTTATTAAACAAAGAATTATTCAAAAATATGATGTGATTGGTGACATCTTACGCCACAGAGCATTGTGTGTTTACGATTTATTATGTTAGTATAGATTCTAAAAATTGCTATTTCCCTTCCAGCAATAAATAGACATGTTGATGAAAGGCAATTTAATTGCTATTTCAATTTGACAGGAGTTTTTTTGTAATTGAACGCAGTTTTTGGTCGATTCGGCATAATTTTAGTTTTTCTAATATATGTGTTTATTCTAATTAATTCTACGTGTTAAATGACATATTAGATACACCTAAACATGTGAAGTTGTTTTATTGTTTGAATGGCAAAGAGGTTATGGTAGATAATAAAACATGTTTTGTTGCGTTGCAATCTAAGTACCTTCGCTGCGTTGAAAGTAATTCAACTCGTTGGTATCTCGGGGCATTTAGGTTTTCTTACAAGTAAAGTGTAGACGGATATCAGTGGAATTGCATATTGATTGCAAATCAATTTACGTAACGATAAATTATTTGTTTTTACATTTGTGAGACTAGAAAGTGATGGTGTCTGAAGTAAGTTTTCTCTGAATTATTATTACACTAGGTGTAGCAATAATAAAACATAGCCTATGTTAGTCACTGATAACGTAGCTTTTTAATAGTGAATGATTTTATGAAAAAGGTCCAGTTGTTTTTGAGTTATTTCAATACATACAAAAATACTAATCTTTCCTCTTTATAATAATAGTATAGACATAGTAAGTACATAAAATACACTACGTAATGTATACATTATTGTTTGCTGGATTTAGATAACATTTTTATCAAGAATACATATATAAAAATGATTATTTTTAATATTAAATGATTTGTTACTAGATGGAGCGTTGGTCAAACAAGACAGCGGTAGTGACTGGAGCCAGCGCTGGTATAGGCGCGGCTGTGTGCGTGGGACTGGCTAACGCTGGGTTACAAGTGGTTGGATTTGCCAGGAGACCAGAACTCATAGAGGTTAGTTAGTGTTTTGAACCTTCACTGTCATAATATTGATTACTCTGTTTCTTTTGAAATATGTCACAGAGAATTTCTTATTATTCAATGTGTTCCCCACTACTATTGATTGTTTTTACAATGAAAAGAAAGGTTACTGGGTTTTCTTTAAAATATTTGCTGATAGAAATAAGGCTGCCATTTCGCAAATCTTGTAGTAGCTTAGTTTTAGTATACGTAGGGCTTGTCCCACCAAATTGTAAATTGTAAAATATGTGATGGAAATATCAGATTTTGTTCCCTTATCCTACAGTGACGTCACTTTTAAGCTATCTGAGCATCTATCAGCCAGTGGTGGGCTAGGCTACATGTAATATTTGTTCAAAAGTATAAAAAAAATGAAATTTTTGAGCAGTCCAAAGTAGAAATATTGTGAAGTTAAAGTTCTTAGTATTTACTAAATATTGTTTCTAATTACAGAAATTGAAAGGAAATGTAAGAGGAAAAGGTGTGATATATTCAAGGAAATGTGACGTCAGCAATATAGATGATATCAAGGCAGCATTTAAGTGGGTAGATGAGAAACTAGGAGGTACCGATGTGCTTGTCAATAATGCTGGAGTACTTTATTACCCTGGACTTATTAGCGGTAAGTATTTACTTTTTAAACATTTGCCCTTGTAACCATAAGTGTAAAAAAACATTTGTTTCATAAACTTTGCTTTAGCATTGTTCTCTTACAATTTTGATGATCAAAAAAGTGAAAAGATGGCGTTGAAAGCAAAATTTTATTTTATGAGGTTATTACAAATTATGCAAACTTTTTTCTGTTCAATGTTTTATGGTGCTTTGCTATTTTTTTTAACAATATTGATGGATTCATTATTTAAAATTACAGATTCGGATGACAAAACGATTACCGACGAGGAAATATCAGCCACAATAGATATTAATATCAAAGGTCTAGTAATATGTACAAAATATGCAATCGCGTCAATGAAGAAACGTAACTTTGATGGTCATGTAATCAATATAAACAGGTAAATATAAAATAATAAACGTAACATTGAGTCGTTTTACTATAAACAGGTTTTAAACAAGCCTTACGTTCCGTTTTTTAAAAATGGCATTTTGGAATGCCAATATAAAATTTAAATATTTGTGGAAAGTACTAAATAATAAAAATAAAATAATAATAAAAACGCAACTTAAAACTAGTCTTTGGCGCTTAACATTCAAGAAAATAACTTAAACTTAACAAAGTCCGGTTTTAATAACCAAGTATCGTAAGACCTATACCAGGAACACATAACCGATTACGATAAAATGTGATCTGTTACAGCGTTGCCGGCCACTACATCCCTTCACTGGCAGGGTACAATGTATACCCTAGCACCAAGCACGCTGTCACTGCCTTCAACTCCAGTCTGCTCCACGAACTTGCAGATTGCAAACACAAGATCAAAGTCACGGTAATTATTTGTAATTATCTAATCTATGCTAGGTATAAATTTCTGATGTCACCAAGGAAACTAAACCAAAATGACAGTAGAATATTGTTCTCTTTTTTAGTCAAACACTAGCTTTCCCCCGTAACTCATTCCGCGTGAATTAAAAAAAAAACGTAAGCATGTAGCCTAACAAACATTCATCCATCTAAACATTTATATTTTATAATATTAGTAAGATAATGAGACGGATGACAAAATGATTTGATACACTTGTTTTAAAATTTTCAGAGTCTTTCTCCCGGTCTTGTTGCAACGGAGATGGCAGGAAAGCACGTGACTGAAGATGTACCGATGTTGCAACCTTCAGACGTGGCAGATGCTTTACTATATGTCCTGTCTACCCCACCACATGTCAATGTAAGTAATACCATCTTTATTTTTAATAATATAAATTGGCAAACGAGCAAGTAGTGGTAGTGCCCGCTTCGGCTCGCCCCAAGCAATACCACGATCACACAGAAGAAAGGCGTGAAGTGGGAGCAATTCCGCATTTTGTGGTGCCGAGGCCTAATTTTAGTCCTTTTTCCTTTCCACGCTTTTCTTAAGATGGGATGTCTATAGGCAGCGGTCGCTTCGCCATTTCGGCGGATTTAGGTGGCCGCTTGCTCTTTTATGTTACAAAAAAAATCTTCATGTCCAGATGCGTTGCCTACCTTTACACAAAAAACGTACATAAATAGAATATACCTTCTTATGCATCCCATCCCACACGAAATCTTTATCCTTTCCTAGTACAAAAACAGTGGAAGGAAAGAGGAATAAAATTAAGTCTCCGGCACGTCAGACATGAATCGCAAAATTGCTTTCACTTCACGTCTGCCTTCTGTGTGGTGGTATCCGGCAAAGTCTTGCGTAGATATTAAAGCGGGGTCTACCACTATTAAATAGCATATTAGCTTTTGATTGTTCAGCATATGTGTTATCTTCCTTTTATAGATAGAAGAGCTGACAATAGGCTCGGTGTTAGAAAAGAGACGATGAATGGTCATCTGTTCTATTCACCGTTAGAAGACAACATGAAGAATTTATTCCAGAAATGCCTAAATGATGTATTGATTAAAGTTTTGTTAACATGAAATTCTTATGGTTTTAATTTGTCAGTGTTATACTTTTCCGTTGGCATATTCAAAGTGCATACAAATATTTACCTCATGAATAATGCACGCACACGGAGTTACGTGTTTGTTACTTATGGTATCCTGGTAGCACCACACACCAGATTGTATGAAATTCCCAATAACTTAACTTAATTAACTTTTTTAATTATTTTATATAACAGAAATAATTGATGTTTATAAGTACTAACAAATCCAATTAGTTGTAACGGTACAGTAGTCAATTTTAATGATAGCATAATTAATCCACTAAGCCCTATTTCCACCAATCATTGAATCATAATGCATATAATTCGATCGCATGTCATTTTCAAAATTAATGTCAATTTACCTTAATTACTCATAGGTTACAAACATTTTTATCCTAATTCACAAATCGACAATAAAACTGATTTAAAATGTATGAGAGTATTTTTTTAGGTTATTAGCACATTTTATTGCTTACTAAATCTAAAAAACCGCTACACTATTTGCATTCTTACATTTTTTTTTTTATAACATAAGGTGGCAAACGAGCAAACGGCCACCTGAAATCGCCAAAATGGCGAAGTGACCGCTGCCCATAGACATCCGCAATTGCAGATGCGTTGCGTACCCTTATCAGACATTGTCCTTAGTTGACCGTGTCACATTCGATCTCCAACATTTCTATGATAATTCAACTCCTCACGTGTTTAACAAACATTAGCAATTTGAATTAAATCCATTCTGATAACGTCATTTCTAATTCCATATTAAGACATAGTTTTTTTCGTAATAGTAGATTTTTCTAGAAACGTTTTGTCTCAAAAAGTATCAATAAACAGATTGACTTTTAAACCCGTTATATTCGTTTTTTGTAAAAATTTCGCATCTAATGTGAATAGAAAGAACATTTAATAGTCGTGTAAATTACATGAGCTATTTTTCCAAATGTTTAACACCCCTGTCAGTCTAGAATCCTATATATGATCTAGTAAAGAGCCTAATTATTCAGTAATAAAATAAATATGTATCGTATAGTATTAATCTGCGTTCAAGTGTTATTAATATTATCTCCGGTAAGATGTAAAAAGAGAATGGGTGATGACATCCAAAAGAAAATAACTACCAGCATACCAACGACTACAAATGACCAGGAAATCAGAAATGAAATAGATGTGATTAATATTATGAAGGAATGTAACGAATCGTTCAGAATACAAATGTGTAAGTATTAATTAATCTTACAAAGAGCGCACGCACACCTTTTACTAAACTATCGCACAACTGTTCAGTCGCGTTTTAATTCCTATGAGTTTTTATAGAAGTGCGCACACTACTCGATATTTAGTTGTAACTAAACAGTTGAATTGAGTTTTTTTGTATAACATAAGATGGCAAACGAGCAAGCTGCCACCTGAATCCGCCAAAATGGCGAAGCGACCGCTACCCATAGACATCTGCAATTGCAGATGCGTCGCCTACCCTACGACGGAAGAGGAGACGCACATAAAGAGGATATTCCCTCTTCCTATGCATCTCCTCCATCGTCAAATCCACTTCCCCTTCCCATCCTCTCATAAGAAAAGGGTGGTAAAGAGAAAGGGACTAGAATTAAGCCTCCGGCACCACACTTATCAGACGAAACACGGCATTGTTTCCATTTCACGCCTGTCTTCTGTGTGGTCGTGGGGCTTGGGGCGTGCCGGCCATACAGTGCTAAGATGTTAAAGCGGGCACTACCACTGTTCAAAACAATCGACAATCACAGAACAGTTGTGCGATAGTTTAGTCAAAAGTGTGCGCCTGATCTTATGAATGCGAAAGTTTAGATGGATGGATGTTTGTTAGTTTGTAGCCTTAACTGCTGAATACATCTCTTTGAAATTAGGCATAGATGTAGAAAACACATAAATTTACTTGTTTTGTATATACTTTACTTTTATTTATTTTACTAGATCATTCTTGTTGTATTTTTACATTTTTTTTAATACTGTACCAATTTCAATAACATCGTGTTACATTCTTCTGTCTTAAAAGAATTTATATTCCATTGTTTTTATGATTTTAATGCTTTTAGCGTATTTGGAACAACTTAACAATAGCGGCAGTTTTCCCGATGAAACGGACAGAACACCTAAGGTAACATTTTTAATGTAAAATTATTACAATTCCTATACGCTTTCTACAACAGTATTTAATCAAACCACTTATATTTTATAGCTGTTCGCGTGCGGCTTCATCCGCGTGAAATTATTTTATTGTTTACATGTGTCAAATTATCAATTGCAAATGTCAAAATGACATGACATCATGACAACGTTGCTTCCTTGATGTTGGCAGCAACATATGGTCGTCTCTTTCCCACATTAGGGGTTTTATCTAAAATATTTACCCTTTACGTTTAATGGCGTGAAAATATATTAAAAAAAGCGTGTCGCAAGTGTGTGGCTTTTTATTAAAAAAAGAATTATTCAAAAACATGCTGTAATTTCTGACATTTTAGGCAACAAAGAAGTGTGTGTTTATGCTTTATTATAATAGTATAGATAGTAGGTAAATTGTATCAACTTTACAATTTCAGATGTGTAAAATGTCCATATTAACAATTTAACGGTGACATATGTTGCAGTGTTACATCCGTTGCGTGTTAGAGTCAAGTGGGGTGGCATCAGAAGAGGGGAAGTTCGACGCCGCCTCAGCTGCGCTTGTGTTAACACAACTCAACGACGGCTATGAAACTAACGAATTAATTGATATGGCTTTTCAATGTATAGACAGGCGTGAGTATTAATAGATATATTTTTAATTTAATATAAGGTGGCAAACGAGCAGGCCGCCTGAATTGGCCAAAACAGCAAACGCTGCCCATAGACGTCCACAATTGCAGATGAGTTGCCTACCCTTAATCGATAGAGGAAGAGACGCAGATAAAGAGTATGTATCCCCTTCCTATGCGTCTCCTCCACCGTCAAATATCTTGTAATGATTACTTAGACAACTTTTAACTAAAGTAGGTACAAAGGTTTATTGATTTTCTAGCTTTCCTCCACGAGTTCAGCCGCGAGAAAATTTAGTACGTGTTTATTTATACTATTCAACATCTGTGCCCAATTACAACGAGATCCCTTTAGCAATTCCTACTTATTTATAATATTAGTAAGATATCTTGGTCTGCAAATCTGTAAGAAATATAATAAAACATCGACATATGAAAGAATGTATTAATTACTACTTGTTGCTCGCGACTTCGCCCGCGTGTAATTAAAAAAATAGTGAATATATGTTACTCAGTGATAATAGTTTTTTAACGTTGCAAGAATTTTTGAAATCGGTCCAGTAGTTTTTGAGTTATTTCAATACATACAAATCCAAAAATACGAATCTTTCCTCTTTATAATCTTACTAATATTATAAATGCGAAAGTTTAGATGAATAGATAGATGAAAGTTTGTTAGAGTTTGTAGCCTAGACTGCTGAACGGATCTCGGTGAAATTCATTTTTTTTTAATTCACCGCGGACGAAATCGCGGGCGAATGCTAGTATTATTTGAATATTGAATAGATTTATTTGAAACACAAATAAACCGAGATAGAATGGGATAAGGGCTTTTGTCCTTATCCCATTCTATCTTGGTTTTATTCTATTCTAGTTTTGTTCTATCTTGGCCATTATAATAATGAATAATATTTATTACAGAGGAAACTTGCAAATGTGAACGATCTTACCAATTCATCAAATGTATAATGGAGAAGGAAATAAACAAGATGGAGAATTCTGAATAAATAACTACAGACAAATAACTACGTGAACAAGGATTCGAATTTAATTAACGCAAGTCAATTATTTAAATAAATAACTAGCATTTCAAAGTATTTTTATTCTTACTTTTTGACCGACTTCCCAAAAGAAGGAGGTACTCAATTCGTCTGTATGTTTTTTTTTTTTTTTATTTTTTTTTTTTT